TGGTATGGATATGCCAAGGAAATCAATCTGAAGGTTGGTGATACATTACACTTTGGTAACTGTTATCCACCGGTGGACGAGATATTTGTATCAGTGGAGTGAGGAAATGCAACTGAGGATTGGCGGTTGTGGTAGGATAATATTAAGATTTTTTATTTAAATAGAAAGGACATATGGTTATGTCAAGACTTATGGTCTTTTGTTTTCTTATGAGTATCTTTAGCAACGTTACAATGATTTTAAGTTACCCCACCAATGTTGTTAGGTGAATAACTTATTTTGTGTAACATGAAACTTATGAATGTTTAATATTACTGTCTTATTAGATAATTAAGTATGTTTGTTTCATATACTTTTGTTATTATCATTATGTGACAATTTGATTATAACGTCGTACAAGGGACAATTATATAACTGTTGAACAATTGTAGAATACAATTGAAGCTATTCTCCCTTAATTCATGACCACTTCTTCAAATTTATGTATTGTGACTGAAATGTTTTATAATTACCAATATTTATTGGGTGTAATTGTTGATAGTATAAGATTGCAAATTTTGATAGCGCCATGAGCATGTGTTGGTTGCATTTGAGAAAATAAATTACAACAAGATCACAATAATATCTTTACAACAACCTCTGCTTTTATTTTATTGCATTGTTGTACAACAACGATAAAGTATGGTAATACAATATAAATAGTTTTAAGGTAATTCCAATTGAAGTAACATGTGTTGTTGTGTGTTATCATATTATGCTATATTTTGGTATCTAAAATACAATTCTAACTGAGGTAATATGTATTGTTGCAAACTTACAGTTAATATATAAGACTTATGACAGTTAAAAATTATATGTGTTTGCACGTTAAACTTAAATGAAATAGTATCAATGATATAAATAAAAATTATATGTTTTTGTTACTATTTCAATTTAACATTATTTCTTTAATTCAAACTATTCCATTTTATTGACTTATAATCATTGCACAAACTAATAATGCAAAATATAATTTTTATAAATTAAATTGTTCTTTTATTTATATTATTTTTTATCATACATAATATCATAGCATTTGATTATTTCTTCTTTCTAAATAAAATCCGCTTAGCTCAATGAAAATGTCAGACCGCTACCCGTGCGAACACACGAATATCATACTAATTTTATTATATAATATTAATGAAGTTAATAGTCTAATAATCTTTTAAATTTGCAACTTACATTAAATAAAGAAATATAATAATTAGTAGTAAAGAATTTCTACTCAATAATTAAAGTAGATAAAAAATAGTTAATTATAAAAATTAAAAATAAATTTTCGTGTATTAAAATCTTTTGATTATATATATATATATATATATATATATATATATATATATATATATATATATATATATATATATATATATATATATATATATATATATATATATATATATATATATATATATATATATATATATATATATATATATATATATATATATATATATATATATATATATATATATTTTTTTTTTTTTTTTGAATCCAAAAATATATATTAAAATCTTAATTATATATTTTTTTTATTTCTTCTCTATTATAAATTAATTTGATTGTTAAAATGATTTTGTATAATTAAATCCTTGTTATTTTTATTATTATTTCTTAACTAATTAATGTCTTAATGACACTAATATTTTTATTAACTTAATAGTTACAAATTTAATTTAACCATTACAAATATTTTAAATAATTAATTTATCTTTTCATCTTTTGGTTTTTGAATTTATTATAAACTTATAATGTTAATTGATGAAAATTTATAATTTTAATCAAAATTTAGTATTAATATAATGGGATAAATGAATGGTGATAGATAAAAATTACATAAAATAATAGTCAAAAAATTGTTGATATAAAAATAAGAAATATATGAAAAAGGATATTTAGAACATTTAATATTAATATAATAGAAAAGTTTCAAAAATTAAATATTTTAATTAATAATAAATAAATAATTAATTTTTAGATCAACCTAAGGCAATTTTTTATTTTCAATTAAGACAAAAAATTTAAATTAAAACATTTAAAATTTACAAACTCATAAAAATAATTTGAACTTTTTTTACAAACTAATAAAATATAAACTCATAAAGATAAACTTATCATTATAGTGTATTAGTTAATATTTGATAATTATTAAAATATTTTTTTTTGTTTTTATATACTATCATCATTGTAGTGTATTAGTTATAATATAGTGATTATTAATTATTTTTTTATTCTTTGACTTAAAATAAAAAGTATGAAGAGTTTTATTTTTTAATTTATTATTGGAATTAGAGTAGGAATATAAATATGAAGAGTATTATTATCATAATTCATAAATTATATCAACTTTAAGATATTATAATTATATCAATTTTATTATTATTTTTATTTGAAATAAATTTAGAATTTTGTGAGATTGACACGTAAGCTTAAATTTTTGTGAGATTTACCAATAAGTTAGGATTTGGTTAGGGTTTCTATTGTGACTTCTTTATATTTATATTAAGTAGACACAATTAATAACAATTTATTGTAATTTCACTTACATTATCTATTATTTTAGAATCGGGCTCAACTCATTGTATTTGTTAGTTTAATCTATAATGTTAACATCATTCCTTTTTATTTTGGAATAACTTATCCCACTCTAAATAATAATAAAAAAATTATGAAAATTTAAAAGTATTCCTCCGATTTTGAAAATGCATTTTTGGATACACCCTAAACATATTATAAGGTGAATCTTACTCCATTTTTTCTCCAAACTTAATCGAAATATTCATCTTTAAATTTACTCTATTCACACCTCATGTATTTCTTACCGAGACACATATATTTTGAGCAGGAGATTTATTTTCATATTTACATCGGACAATAAATTTTGACTTTATTTTAAAGATGCACTTATGTGATTAACGATATAATATAAATGAATAAATTTGAAAATGACATATATAAATGAATAAATTTATAATACATAATGAAGTCAAAATAAAATACAACCAATGATAGTGCTCATAATACTAATACTATATATTATCGTGTATGTCAGACCTGAGGCCCCTGTTCCTAAGCCACCTCATGCACTGTAGTATCGACCGTGCCTCCTGTAGAATGATATCTAGAGTGTCCCTCGCCTCCAAGCCTTCTGAAAAGACTCATTTGTTTAAATCCACCTGCACATTACTCATGATACGATGACATCTAGGCAACACATCGACAACATGATATTTTCTAGTCTGCTTCTCCTCTAGTATCTCCCGATGAGTTGACCTAGGTGAATCTCCTAGAGTATTTGATTTCATATAAGGATGTGACACTCTAAAATACTATTGAATGTAGCCGTATACAAAACTTCAGTTGTTAGGGGCCATGATACTCCATGTCTCCTCTGATACCAAATGATTAAGGAAATCATCATACATGGTATTTTTATCTATGCGTGCCATAATAAGAGGATGAGTATTTGATGGGTCTTTGAAAATAAATTGTATGTAACTGAACTGCCACATGACGCACTCAGGCAGATGTAGATACTTCACACGTATCCCGCAACCCAACCATCTAGAGTATAAGGCTATATCGTCCAAGGGACGCACCTAACAGTGATCAGTGTACTCCTGAAAATATATATCCTTTGCTACCAAGTGGTCAAGATACACTCAAAAGGGCTTCGTTGTATGATTCCCTCTCAATGTAGGTCAGAATATATGACCGGTCGGATATGCATGTGAAGTGTTAGAGGATCCAAACCTTAAAAAAGGTACGTATGAATTATTAGTAATGACATAACAAGTGTTATAAAAATGATACATAAACACTAGAAGATGCAAATATATTATCATCAGCAACGTGCAATTGCTTGTCATTTGTTTAGTTTTCCACGTACAACCTTCAACTAATTTGGAGTACATGTAGACTAAGCAAATGCCCTTAGTTATACTCATGAATCTGGTCCAAGTCACTAAAGTATCTCAAGTAGAACAAATCCACATAAGTTACACTCTTGTCCACAAAAATAAATATGCCAACTAATTCTAACAAGTATGTTGTCAATGCGTATGCTTTATGCTGCATAACATGCTCATCATCACTAACAGTCTTCTCTACTTTGTGCAGTTTCTGAGGTAAGGTTCATACTAGTTGAATGTCTCTAAGAAAATGCCGACCTCTTTGCTATCTCTTTACACGAGATGCCTGACATTGATCCATAAATTGTTTGTCACCAATTGTTTGATAAAGCTACACGTCAGCTAAAAATAAAAATAAATTTTTTAAAACTTTTGCTATTTTATAAATATTATTAAATATTATTAAATTTTTTTAAGAAACACTTAGTTCATTTTTAATTGGCCTTTATGTTTTAAAGAAATTATCGAATTGAAATAAGATTGATGTAGATTGACATTATAAAATTAAATTTATGTTGTTTATCTATTTTTGTGTGTTTTGTCTTGAGCTGAAAAATAGAATAAAATAATAAATAAAGGCATTCAAATAAAACTTTTTTTATTTGGCTTTTGGGCATATCCATAACAAAAATATTATTTTTTCCGTTTTAAAATGATTATCATTTAAAATTTTTTGCACACAAATTAAAAAATTTAATAATATTATTTTAAAATATTACATTTTATAAAATTAATCTTATTAATATATTAAAAATAATATAGAGATCCAAAATTTATAACCCTTTTCCAATTTAACATTTAAGATCCAAAATAAAGTTTTTAAAATTAAATGAGCATTAAAATGAATAGCAAGATTACCATACCCAAAAAAAATTAAACCTTACTTTTTTTCATAAAATATAAAAAATATATGTATTATAAATAATTTCTTAAAAATACCACAATTATCAATATTTGGTCATAGTAATAAAACTTAATTATATTATTTGTCCTTTATCTGATTGTAATGAGTGCAACCGTAGGCCGCCTTGGTGAGAAAATTGGAAGAAAATGGTGTATGCTTCACTCTCCTTTCCATTGTCGCCCCCTTTCACTCTCAAAAACACAAAATGGTTTTCACCTTCCTATTTTTCAGTAAGCGCTCTTCTCATTCCTTTTCTGCTTCTAACTTTTTCACTTCTCATTTTCATTTTCCTTTTTCCGTTTGCAGGAATTTCCCAACAAATTCAATTTCAGACCTTCCCCAACTATTCTATCTTATTGCTTTCAGGTTCCCTTCATATTCCATTCTTATTATTTCTCTTTACAATTTAATCTTTCCTTTTTTATCTCTCAATCGTATTGGACTATTTCAATTTAAACTATTTTACAGGAAAGAAGCATTGGTGCGGTGAACACTGCATCCATCACAAACAACCCCGGTGAATGCAGCAATTCACCAGACCTCCCACAGAGAGATCTACCTCCTCTAGTGAGTGCATTGAAAGCCTCAGCTGTACAAAATGCAGCTTCTTTTCACTTTCCTGGACATAACAGAGGCCGTGCCGCTCCTGCATCGTTGACTCAACTCATTGGAATAAGACCATATCTTCATGATTTGCCCGAGCTTCCAGAACTTGATAACCTCTTTTGTCCTCAAGGCCCTATATTAGAAGCACAAAAGGAAGCAGCCAAACTGTTTGGATCATCACAGACATGGTTTCTTGTTGGAGGTACTACTTGTGGGATCCAGGCAGCAATTATGGCAACCTGTTCACCTGGAGATTATCTCATTCTTCCCAGAAACTGTCATTTATCAGCTATATCTAGCATGGTATTATCTGGTGCAGTGCCAAAGTACATTGTTCCTGACTATAAAAATGATTGGGATATCCCTGGTGGCATCACTCCATTACAGGTATTGAATGCTATCAAGGAACTAGAACTGGAAGGAAAAAAACTAGGAGCTGTTTTCATCACTTCACCTACTTATCATGGTATTTGCAGTAACTTGAGAGAAATATCTGAGTTGTGTCATTCTCGGAAAATTCCTTTAATTGTTGATGAAGCTCATGGTGCACATCTTGGATTTAATTCTGAAATGCCTAGGTCAGCCCTCCAGCAAGGTGCTGATCTAGCTGTACAATCTACTCACAAGGTTCTTTCCTCTCTTACTCAGTCATCTATGCTGCACATGTCCGGGGATATCATAGATAAGGACAAAATATCTAGGTGTCTCCAAACTCTCCAAACCACAAGTCCTAGTTACCTGCTTTTGGCATCCCTAGATGCTGCTAGAGCTCAACTTAGTGAAAGCCCTGATATTCTATTCAACAAAACAATTGAATTAGCAAATGAAGCAAAATGCTCGTTAAAACGAATCCCTGGCATCTCAGTGCTTGAGAATTCAAGCTTTCCTAACTTTCCTGCAGTTGATCCATTGAGGCTTACTGTAGGTTTTTGGGAGCTTGGTTTATCAGGTTACGAAGCAGATGAAATCTTATACAAGGATTTCGGGATCGTCTGTGAACTCGTTGGGAGTAAGTCTATCACTTGTGCCCTTAATCTTGGAACTTGTAGGGAACACGTCCAGAGGCTTTTATCAGGAATAAAGCATCTAGCTTCAACATGTTCTTCCTTTCAGCAACCTAAAAACAGACTGCTTACTGAGCATGCACCCTTTGATGATACAATCATGAAGTTGATTCCTAGAGATGCATTTTTCGCAAGTAAAAGAAAAGTAACAGTCAAGGAGAGTCTTGGTAAGGTTTCAGGTGAGCTTATATGTCCATACCCTCCAGGCATACCGGTATTGATCCCTGGTGAGGTTATTACAGAGAGAGCTGTCGAATATCTACTCCATGTAAGAAGTAAAGGTGCTGATATTAGTGGAGCATCTGATCCCTTACTTTCTTCTATACTTGTCTGCGATGTACAGTAAAAACAGCTTGTGAGAAGCCCCCTCACCTCATATTGAAGTTGTGTCTGGTGTTCCACATGTGTCCGCGTCTTACACCACCAACACAATATTGTCTTACACCAACACAATATTAGTGCATGTAGTTACATTGGTTCACTTTAGTATTTCATAGCCTTGAAGTTTAAACTTCTCAAATGCCCTTCTTTAGCATGTGAATGACACCACTCTTAACAATTGACAAAGATTTCACACAGTTGAAGAAATTCTTAGAGGTATTTATTCAACTAACTAATGCTAGCAATGGCTGTTGATGTTCGTAGATATTCTCTCGTTTAATTGGATTGTAACAAAAGAGACCTACAGGATTATTGCTAGTGAAAATCTTCCAGCTTCTCATACTTTAGAAATGGTTCAGAATCATTTGAAAACAAATGTCCTGAGTCATGTCAATGTTCTGTTTTAAAATGATTTCTAATTTAATAGTTTAGTTGATATTTAGTTGAAGGGATAACATTGGTTCAATAGCAAGGTTGTTTTATTGCGTTACGGATCCCGCTGGAAATAACCTCTCTCTTATAAAAAACAGGAGTAAAGTTGCGTACATCCGATCTCCCATATACTGGATTAGTCTTTTAATTGATATTTAGTTGTTAACTTATTTCTTGGAGTAACAATAACATCGGTTACAAATTTATGGAAGTTTTGTTTGCATAATTTACTTAATATAAATCTAACAGACACGTGTCATTTTTGTAGTTACTCTAACATTAACCATAATTCTATTTTTTCTTAAATTGATTCTACATTATTAATAATAATAATAATAATAATAATAATAATAATAATAATAATAATAATAATAATAATAATAATAATAATAATAATAATAATAATAATAATAATAATAATAATAATATTCTGCCAACATTATTAAAAATAAAGAAATGTTAATGAGTGTCTTCGGGGCATTGGTTTAGAGATTAAAAAGGTAAACATTCTCGAATAGATAGAAAATATAGGATTTTTCTAAAAATATATGTATTAATTGCATTGAAAGTATAAATATTTAATTTTTTTTATAAAATATTAATGTATTCAATGCATTTAATATATATAAATTTTTTTTATTTAAAATTCTTAACTAGTGTCTGAGAACACCGGTTAGCATTACCTTTAAAATTAATAATAATAATAATAATAATAATAATAATAATAATATAATTAATTACCAATAATAATAATAATAATAATAATATAATTAATTATTATTATTAAATCTTTTTAATTTTGATTGAAAAGTGATATGTTATAAGATATTATTATAATTAATTTTTAATAAAAAGTAACATTAATATTTTTTTTTTATAAAAAGTAAAATTAACGTGATATTTTTTACTTTATATTTGTCAAAATTAATTTTTATACATAACATTTAAAAGTTTCCCAAATCATATTGATATAATAATTATTTAAAAAATCTCCTAATAATAGGTCATAAGATATTACATTACAATTAATTTTTAATAAAAAAATAACATTATTATTTTTTATAAAAAGTAAAATTAACATGGTATTTTTTTACTTTATTTTTGTTCAAAATTAATTTTATATGTAACAGTTTAAAGTTTTCTAAATTATATTAATATAATTATCATTTAAAAATATCTCCATAAAATATAAGTTAAAGAATTGAAGTAGATAAAATATTATAGGAAAAATAATGTAATTTTGAAATTGGTCATTAAATCTGTCGTTAATTAGATAAAAAAATAAAATAAAACATTTTGAAAGTTAAAAAGACTAAAGTGATACGAAAAAAAATTAAAAAACTAATTTAAATCTAAAAGTATAATTTAGGGATCAAAATAAATATTTTATCAATATTATAAAAATAATAATTTAAAATTAAAATTAAAGATTATTATTATTTTTTTAAATAAAAAAAATATATTAATTTAAAAAATCATTAAAAAACAAACGATCGCGAGGATCTAGTTCACTTAAAAGACCAATCGAAACCTATAGGATAAGCTTAACTATATGCTTTCTCAAATGCTTAGTATACCACCCTCTATACAAGATTCTTTTTATAATGCTTTCAGCAACATTTATTTGACCAGCTTTTGTGAAAATAGTGTCATTTCTGAACAGCCAAATTCCATATAAAGCTTCTGTGAAAGCAAGCTTCAGTAAGCTCCCTTTCCAACCTTTCTTCTTTGTATTCTCCATCACCCACTTAAGTTTAGTGTCCCACTGCAGAGGATCATGGTGTATCTCCAAACAACAAAAGCACTTCTTTCCAAATGGCAATTGTAACACTGCAGTCGAAAAAAAGGTGGCCACGGAATTCATCCGTATTCTTACAGAGACTGCAACTAATGTCTTGAAGCATCCCAAATCTATTAAGCCTATCCTTAGTAGGCAACTTGCCATGGCAGATTAACCAAAGATTCAGAATTGCTTGAGGCCTAACAGTGTTCTTGGTAATCAAATGTCTCCAAGAAACTCTAGTATTGTCATCAATCATAGCACTATAAACACCTTTCATTGAGAACTTCCCACTAACCAGCATTTTATCCAAAGTTTGATTCATCTGATTGATATTATCTCTAAGACTCATAATACTGTTTATAATCCAGGACCAGTTGGTGTTACACGAAACATCCATCACACGTTTACCTTTCAAATAATACATGTCAACCCATTTAAAGAGGTTATCTGATTTCTTACACAAATTTCAAAGACATTTCATCAAACTAAAGATTAATTAATATGATAGGTTAAAATTTATAAACATTTTATTTAATTATTTAATAATATAATATAATTTTTTTTTAACTTTAGTATATAATAATTTTCTTCATTTATATTAAAATATTTATTCTTTTTATAGTTTTTTTAAACATGAAATGTAGGGGGATGTTTTCTAATTTTTTTTTTTACGAAGCTTTAGTTTTTATTTATTATATAAAAATTATAAAAGTTAATAAAACTAATATAATTATAAATTAATTTTAATAATTCATTTACCATTATATATTTTAATTGTAAATTATTTTTATAACTTCTTTCATTAATTTCTCGCTTAAAGGATCATTGAATTACCGTTTATAAAACTACCCGTGTAAAACTTTTATTTATCGATACCTATCAAAAAATATATCTCAAATAAAAAATAAGATAAAAAAATATGTTATTAAAGAAAAATATCTCTTATATCTCTTAATTGACAATCACTTTTTTAACTTTATTCCTTAACTATTCTTCCTTAACTATCTCTTATATCTTTAGATTTTTTTTGTCATTAATTCCAAAAAAAGAAGAAGATTTTTTTATCATATATGCTATTGATACAATTTTAACAATTAAGTTTTTGTTTTGTTTTCTCTTTATGTTTTTCTAAATTTGCGTGTTTTAAAGAATTACACAAGTTATTTTAAAAACAAATTATTAGTAAGTAAGATTATGTTATAATTAAATCTCATATTCAATTATTATATTTTTATATTTTATATATTTTTGTTGATCATATGTTAGTGAGTTTATTATTGAACTAAATCTAATTGAGAAGACATGTCATGAAAATGTTGATATGATGTCCTTAAATATTTAAAGAACGAAATATACAAAAATTAAAGATAATTGTTACTTCCTATTTATTTGTTTAATATTTTTATGGATGAACTATGTACCACGTCAATAAAAATTGTATCAAATACTATTTAACTTCAAATTGAGTAAGTTTAATCAAAATTTGTCTACGTTTTTGTTTAGATGCAACACTTTGTCTAAATCAGATGTTGAAGCTCTCAACAATGTTATGAGAGATTTAGAAGACCGACGAGTGAAAGATTCATGACAAAAGAAAAAATATGTTTTATAAAAGAATTTTGGGATATTTTGAAAGATGATTTGTTGACATTTTTGTTGGAGTTTCACCGTAATAGAAAGCTAGCTAAAGGTACTAATAGTACATTTATTACCATAATACCTAAAGTTGATAGTCTTCAGAGCGGGTTCCGGATTTTCACCCCATTTTGTTGGTTAAGTGTGTGTACAAAGTTTTGGCAAAAGTTCTGGCTAACAGATTACGAAAGGTAATTGATGGGCTGATCTCGGATACTCAATTCACTTTTATCTCTAGCAGAAAAATTGTAGACGACATCTTGATAGCTAATGAGGTGGTGGATGATGCTTAGAAGAATAACAAAAAGTTATTGTTATTTAAATTGGATTATGAGAAAGCTTATGATTTCGTGGATTGGCGTTATTTGAAAAGGGTGATGGCTAGAATGTAATTCTCGTATTTGTGGGTGAAATGGATTACATAATGTGTATCGACTACCAAGGCGTGCGTTTTAGTAAATGGGAGTCCAACTGATGAGTTTATTTTGGAGAGAGGTTTTCGTCAGGGCGACCTGTTATCTCTTTTTCTCTTCTTAATTGTGGAAGAGGGATTCAATGTTTTGATGAATGTTGTAGAGGAGGGTGGAATGTTCTCAGGGTATAGAGCCAGTCATTGTGTCAGGTTAACCATTTCTCATTTACAGTTTGCGGATGACACTTTGTTGATGGGGTCAAAGAGTTGGGTGAATGTCAGGGCTCTTAAAGTAATGTTGTTGTTGTTTGAATCGAATTCAGATTTAAAAGTTAATTTTAATAACAACGGGTTGGTGGGTGTGGACATTTCTAATTCTTGGTTGATGGAGGCAGCTTTGGTGTTAAACTGTAAACCAGGAGTGATTTTGTTTGTGTATCTGGGGTTGCCTATTGGGGGAAATTCGCGTAAGCTTAATTTTTGGCTACCGTTGTTGGATAGCATCCGAAGCAAGTTATCTGGGTGGAAAAGTCGTAATTTATCTTTGAGGGGTTGGTTGGTTTTATTAAAGTCTACGCTGTCCTCTATTCCGGTTTATTTTCATTCTTTCTTCAAGGCTCCTGCATGTATCATCTCTTCCCTTGAATATTTATTTAATGTTTATTTTTATGGGGTGGTAGGGAAGGTCATAAGAAAATAACGT